AGGGAAAGCTAAACGGGGTTGCAGTCCTCGGGTCAAACCCCAACACATCTCCACCCACTTTCTACCAAGATTCAAGCAGTCTGAGCAGCCGGAACTTTCTTTCACTGTTACTGTTCCTGAAAAGAAAAAGCCACCTACCCCTGTCAAGCCAAAGGTTCCACTCTCTACACCTCGCAAAAGTCCCAAGACAGTGAAATACAGACTCAAGTTTCGCTTTGGATAACTCTGATCTAGGCCTTGCSAGAAAGCATTCTTTTCCCTCAGGAGATTCTACAGGTGTCTTTGGAGCTCTGGAGAAAAACCTTCAGTCACAGCTTCGGCTGGACTCACTCTGTATGGAAAGTCAGGTCATTTGTTTCAGTTTGAAGCAAATACGTTTTTTTGATAGAAATGGAACTGGAATTCTTTGTACTTACAGGAGGAGCACAGCACTTCCGTTCAGAAAGCCTTTTGCTTTATACTTAGGGGATATTTAGAATTCCACATTTTCAGMAAGTCAAATAGCCTGGACTATGTATTTTTCTGACTTTTACAGCTCAACCTGAAAGAACATACATGATACATTTTTTTTTATTTTTGGTTTCCAAAGAATATTTTGATGCAGATAAAATATTTTATTAACTTTTATTTTTGTTTTTTTAAATTACCTCTGCATTGTTCATATTTTCTTACTTTTGCTATTTTAACTAATATGGCATAAGCAATCGTTTTAATACTGTTTATGAATTATAAATGTGTTTAGAGCTTATTTGTAACGTGGATTTCTTTTGCAATTTTCTATTCACTGCACTATTTTTATTTTATTTTTATTTTTTAGCCATACCTCAGTTAATGTAAATTTAGTTTGATGTTTTAAAATGTTTAAATTCTCTTCCACAGCATCAAAGGCTCAGCTTGGATTTATGTGTATGTGTGTGTAAATTTATGACATTATGTGAAAACYTACCCCTTTAACGGCTGGTTAGAAATTAAGGAGGAAAAAAAAAGAGTATTTTAATGAAACTAACAGTTGTAGGTAAGGAAAAGAATTAGAGGTAAAAGTACTCTAAGTTTGTAGCATTTATTGAGATCTAATTCTGTCTTGCCTTTGCTTCTCCTRTTATCTTACCCCCTGCCCTCATTCTGGAACAGCTGAAGGAATACATTTTATTCTGTCCATCAAGCATACACTATGAAATYGGAGTGCTTAAAAATACTTCTGTGACCC